TTTCGGAGGGATTCGAGTGTTACTGATTTTGCGTTAAAAAATATTTTTGGTTTGTCTATTATTTTAAATGTGTTAAAATTAAATTTTAAAAAATAAGAAAATATTTTAAAAAATATTTTTAATCATGAATATCAAAGGAGACAACGCACATGGATAAAAAAGGTTGCTAACAGCAGCTGGAAATCAATCAATTTTTTTATATATATATTTTTAAAAAGAAAAGAGTTTTTTGGAGACGTTACATCTAATAGGAGATACACCCTTCTCTCCCGCCTTTCACTTGGGATTTGTCAAAGGTTATGGTTAGATTGGGTGGGACAATCTCGCTGTTTGTCCATTGACGTGTAAACTATAGAGTGGTGACAGCCAACTGTATCTGTGGTGTCGTTTTATAAAAGGTGATGCGTCGTCACTGTCCATGTTATCACGCCTTATAGACATAGCACTCGCTTTAAGCCCATGTCCCGTGGGCTAGCACTGTTGGCCACCTTTGGCCCATGCATAAGACATTAAATTATTTTTGATATTATATAGATTAATTAATTTTCTCTTGTGTCTACTTATTTGCATGCTATTCTATTTTGTTTTTTCAGGGAACTATACTTTTCGTTGTTCAATTAATGATGTAGGCAATTAAGCCAGGTGTTGTGTTTTCTAGTGAGAGTGTAAAAAAATGAAAAACTATTATTATATAGCTAGAACAATTTCACCAATGCTTTTACTTAATGAGAAATTTGATGGGTATTTAGAAAAGCTGGAGTACATATGATGGATAGGTCAATTACTCCCCCATATCTTAGGGTTTCTAACTCCTCAATCACAAAAAGAACTTTTCATGATGACGAAGCGTGGAATGAAAATAAACTAGTTTTTGTATAGGTTTCCACAACTATATAAGATCTTAACCTAACCAAAATAATTATTGATGAATTATTATACTTAAAATTAAGTTTAGTTGAAGAAGATGCAAAATACCTCATAATACATATCATGTTAAGAGAGTGTTTGTCTATATTATTGTGTTTGTATTTTGTTTAAAACACAGATACAACAATATTTAATAAAAAAAATATAAAATACTAATTATGGGTTCCATTCAATTTCACATTGTGGAGGGAAGCTGCATGGTGCAGCAGCAAGAAGCAAGTAGAACCTGTTTTTTAGTGAACAGTGCACGTGCACTGTTTATTAAGTGAACAGTGTTTGTTTTTAATTTTTTTTTTAAAAATCAGTTAATATTTTTTTAAAAAATAATAATAATTTTTTAAAAAAATTAATTTAAAGTGAGTTAAATTTATTTGTACTGTAATCTCAATTTTATTTTTGATAATAATATATCTAATTTTATTGCATGCTCAAAAAATCATGAAACTGTAATTTTTGTCAGATGAATTTTATATGTAATAGAATTGTAGATAGTTTAATGGAACAATAATTTTTTATATATATAAAGTGTGATTTATTTCATGATATAATAGCAATAGTTAAATCTACAATATTTAAATTAAAAACCATAAATATTAATATATATTTTTTAAAATTATTTTATAATCTCAATTTCAAAAGCATTCTTAACCAAACACATTAAATTATTTTTTGTTTAACCTCAATTTCAACCACAGTTTTAACGAAACACTTATTTTTTCAAAACCAACCTCAACTAAAAATATTTTTTATAAAATAATTTTTTTCAAATCACAACCATAACAGCAACCGCAATACCAAATACACTCTAAATATAATTCATATTGCGTTGTGTTTATGCTTTACATATATCAATCAATTCTATATCTAACAATACTCACAACAACATATAAAATCCATATTGTGTTGATAGCTATTATTATTATTATTATTATTATTATTATTTTCGTTGTAAATTGCAAGAACAACGACAATCTAATGAAATCATCATCTTTCTTCGAGCTTTTGATTTTAACATTAAATTTTATGTTTGTCAATTCCGTAAATTCCTCGTATAAAGTTGGTTTTTATTTATTTATCAAATAAAAAAATGCATTTATCACTTACAACGCAGTCATTTCTTTAAAAATGCCTTCCGTGTTGTCCTTGAAGCATGTATAACAGATATGCAACAGGGAAGAGCAGTCCATACCCTATCACTAAAAACTGTATTTGATCAAGATAGCTATGTTGAAAGTTCTGTTATTGACATTTATTACAAGTATGGCAGCATAGGAGAAGCAAAGAAAGCATCCAGGAGTTCATCTATGCACAATTTGGCTGCTTGGAATGCCATGATGATGGGATTTGTCCAGCATGGTTTCTGTCAAGATTTTTTTTTAATCTCTTTAACAAGATGCCTCAATTTGGAAGAGAACCTGACGGGACAACTTATCTTGGTGTTTTTAGTCATGCTGCCATGGAAGGCTCATGAAAGAGGCATGTTACTACTTAAGACTCTATGTTCGAACTTCATGGAATTGTCTCACGTTTAGAACATTATGCTTGCATGATTGATCTACTTGGTTGAGTAGATTTCCAGGAAGATGCCTATATTATTCAATCTGATGTTCATACATGGCAAAATCTTCTGTCTGCCTGGAACATCCATGGACATGTTGAGCTGGGAAGAGTTGTGGCAAGCAATATTCTTGAGATGCATCCTGAAAACGAATCTGCCTATGTTCTTCTATCAAATCTCTATGCTTCATTTGGTATTTGGAATGCTGTTGGAAGATTAAGAAAGAGATGAAAGAAAAAAATTCTTTTAAGGAATCTGGTTCTAGTAGGATTCAAGTTGGTAGATCAATTCATAATATTATGGCTAATGATACCTCACATCCTCAAAGTAAAGAAAAATATGCGGAGTCAACAAGGTTGTATGAACAAATGATAGTGTCCATGGAACCGGAACAAGATGGTGCTTCTCTCTGGATCTATGGACCCAACAAATACCCCTTGGTTTTTTCATTTCAGAAGTGAACTGTTAATACTTCTATCCAATCAGGTGTCCTCAATTAACTTCAAAGGCATTTCCGCTCAATCCATTCTTTATTTGAAATGAGTGTCTAATGATTAACTGAAAATCTTCTTTATCCCTCATGTCAACTCTTCTAGAATACACTGTCTTCATATTGAAAAATGAACGAGTGGTTCCAGTCGCTGTGAGGTGCATGTAAAATTTACAGCAAGGGAGATATATAACTGTTTATAATAGTTAGTGTAAATAATGTCCTCAGTGTTAATTAGAGGAGGGTGCATTATGCCGTTCATCAAAAATAAAAAATGGGACAGGACGTTGATATTTGGCTCAGATCATGCCATCCTGGAGGTTAGTTTACTATGGTAATGCTGATCTCTGTTATTTGATGTAGAGGATAAGAGTATGTAGTCAGACACTTTACGAACCATTTTGTTTTCATTCTTTTCTCTCACTGCTTTTTTTTTTTTTACCTGCTTACTAATCCGAGTTAATGTCTCTCCATTGTGTCCATGTGGATGAACAATTAGTGTCCTTAAAAATTCATTGATTCTGATCCTTTTTCTAGGTAAGCTGAGTGAGCAAATGTTACCCAGATTATCTCTGTGAGGAAGTTGTTGGTAAGTTGTCTGGGAATTCAAAATATGTGCTTAATGCCTAGGTCAAGTGTTTGACGGAATTGCTTTGCATTATGTTCTAGTGATCCCTTAACTTTGGAGATTCAGAGGTTTTATTATTTCTTCAAATTATGTACCTTAGTTTAAATCTAATCCTTAGCAATCCTTCCTTTTCTATTGGCCATGCTCTGAATCTTTCTTCCAACAAGGAAATGCAGACACCATTCCCATTATTTGCATAATAATAATAAAAAATACAGGTGCTAGAAGTGAACAGGAAAAGATAAGAAAATTGCAAGCTCAATTGTCAGTGCTAAAAACTATACCATTAATCTTCAGTAGCTCAACCTATACCCTCGTGCAAGACAACAACTCCTCTGGCATGCCTCCTAACCACCAATTCTTCCTACAAAGCCCGTTTTCTGTTTCTAACGCACGCTATGGCTGGTATGACACCCAATTCCTCCATGCTACTTTTCTATCTAGGTTCCAAATCATATCATCCGCTTAACGTAAATGTTTAATTCCTGTTGAACTCTTTGTTGTGGCAACGAAAATGGGGAAGCGAATTGGTTACTCCAAAACTGAGGAGAATATTTTTTACAGTTGAATAAAAAAAATACCAGGTGCAATTAGAAATATTTGAATGAGATACCACTACGTACAAGAACAAACTTGAAATGGAGGCAAATTAAAGACAAGATAGAGGACAAATATGTTGTTTTTGGAAGATCAAATACATTACTATTATGAGAATTTTGAAAATTCTAGTAATAGTACCATGCTCCCTCCCACAGAAGACAAAAGAAAAGGTATAAATAATTTTTATGCATGTTTAGAACTTAGTATAATTGCTTTTCAAAATAGTTTTTATTTAGAAAGGTATTAAAATAATATTTTTTATATTAGTTTGTTAAAATATTTAAAAACACCAAAAAATATTAATTTAAAAAAAATTAATTTTTTTTTAAAATAGGCTCTATATCATGGAAAAAATAAACGAGGAGGTTGGATAACAAACACAAGCTATGATCAAACCAGACATGCCATGTGACCATGAGCTATCTAAACGACGGAACCACCCCATTGCTGGCCTTGCACAAGGAACGTTGAGATATCTCTATTTTTTTAGGTAAACCCAGGGGCATATTGAATCAAAAACTGCAAAACAAGTGATCTTTTCCCTTCCCATTAACCACTTCTACTCAGATTAAAAATTAGGACCTTCAAATTGGAAAGGGTGGTAGCTCGTGCTGTAGGCTATTCCATTTATGTCTTGAGACACCTGAGTCATTCCTCGATTGTGTTATTGACCAGGTCTAAATTGTAATCATAGTGAAATACGAAAGTGGAAATTAAGTGATTCTGAATTAGAGGTATAAATGGAACTGAATGTTTAAGCTTGAAGAATTATGTTTTTGCAATGTTTTTCAGCTTCTTGCACAACTAACATCTCCATACATATATTCACTGTAAAGAAATTTGTCTTCCAACATTCCAAATGAAAGCATTCAGGTTTGATAGTCTGCCTTCAAATGGAATCTATTCCAAGAGAGGCCTCAAAAGGCTTAAACTACGTGAGCTGGGTGGGTGTTTTCGCAGCCCGAATTTATGTGGAAATTAGTCTTGGAGATTCTTCTCAAACTTTACGGGGCCAAGAGCTTCCTCGGCTCAAGCTTGCATCATCATGGGTAACACTTGGAGAACATTCTTTGAGTTCCTGCCAAGGCACAAAACATGCTACTTTATTCTTTGCTCGATTCTCTCATATTTGGTTCATTCTTATCATCCTTTCTACATTCAATATCACCATTTTCTTATGTGAATAGACAATGGCTGCTGCTGTCAATTTCCCTGGTCAGCTCCCACAGCAAACCATCTCCCTCAAAGGAGTGGCTGGACTCACTCTCGCCTCCTCTCCCTCTAAAAGGTCGTGTCAATTAATGCTGAGCAACGTGAAGATGGAACAAGTAGCATGTTTAAGAAAACAGGTAACTAACAAATCGTTCAACAAACGATGGGTCAACTTGGTTGTGTCAGCGGCTGCTGATTTCGACTTGAAATTGGGTTCTTCTCCGTCCAATATGATCAAGCAATTCTATACATGCATCAATGACAAGAAGCTGAAGGAACTAGATGGCTATATCTCGGAAGATTGTCACTTCGAAGACTGCTCCTTCCTTCAACCAATGCAAGGGAAAAGGGTCTCTTCTTATTCTTCATAGACTCCTTTTAAATCTAACAAATACATTTCTTGATTCTTACAATTAACACAGCCTATAATGTATCACTGAAGGAGGTTATGCATTTCTTTCGACAACTTACAGCAGGCATGGGCCAGAATATGAAGTTCATCATTGAACATGTATGTGAAGATGATGAAATGACAGCAGGGGTGAATTGGCACTTAGGTAAAAATTATAATCACCAGACATTGTCAAGCATTACGATGTATTTTGTTTCATAACAATTTAACAAATTGATGAGAATTCTCTACCATGCAGAATGGAAAACGATCCAGATACCCTTCACCAGAGGATGCAGCTTCTATGAATGTTCTCACAAAAACGACAGACTTATTATCAAGTAATGACCAAATTTAAAAACATATTTGGCCCCCAAGATCCATAAGAAAACAAGAGTCTCTCTAATAAGCACTATGCTTTGCTACAGGAAAGCTCTGGTTGTGATAGAATCACCCATCAAACCAGGAGGCATTGTTCTGGTAATCACCCAAAATAAAATTTTCTCAACATTTCCTAAATCTTTTAGGCCAAAGAACATTTTTTTTCTAACCAATTATATTACATGATTTAACAACTTTGTTTTCTTCTTAATGTGCTCTTTGTTCCATGTATGAATACAGACTCTGTTAACGAACGTGACTGCAATATTTGATGATTTCCCAAGAGCTGCAGAATGTAGGTGAAATTTTATTAAACCATAACAAAACTTCCATTAATATCAAACTCATAGCTAATAGCATTAAACTACACCTATGCTTTGTTTTCTGCAGGGTTGCTAAAGAGTCCTCATGTCATAATGCAGTTCTGTTCAAAAATTTACAGCAGGCTTTTGGCCCCTTTTGTCAACCCACTTCTTGCAAGCTACATCAGAACCTGGAAACTCATTGCAGGATTATTTGCTTTTGCACTAAACATAGTATTCCATTTTCTAAATAAGTATTTTGGATAGGATGCACTCACAAAAGTTTTTATATGCATAAACACCAACAGTAGAGATTGCAGCTTTACATCAACAGTCAATCATCATCGCCAGCATGGCTCGACCACATTTCAAACAACGAGAGAGCAATTAATGGTCCAAAAACAGGTGGTAATGGTGGAGGTCTGCTGAAGGCAACAATAGGATCCATCTTTTCATTCGGAACTAGCACTTTTTCCGCAGAAGCATTGCCCTCTTTTCTCTTCCGAGTTGAAGTGGCTACAGTACCTAGTTTTGTAGGGATGTGATTATCAGTAATAAAGGTTGTTAATTATATGATTGTCTTTTTCGTTACAGTTCAAATAAAAACAAGAATCGTTTCAAGGGATGAGATGTTACCCCATGATCCTGCCATAGGGCGGATCTGCTTGAATTTGTATTTTGCTGGCAATAATGCAGCTATTCCACGCATACGCTATGATTTTATGATCCTTTTAACAAGAAAATAAAACAAAATAAAATAAAATGGTTACTGCTAATTGTGAGAAATTTTATATTACTCGAATAATTAAATAGACGAATTGATGTAACGTGTCGGATATAATTCATCAAATTCCTTGCTTCTGCTTAAAACATAGGCATCAGTAGAGAGCACAGCACGTATCCACCAATGTAACAACTTTCAAGGATACAAAGATTTCAAGAATCACAATAATGATGATGATGATGGATAAACACTAAATCAAACCAAAGGCTAGAGATTTCGTAAACTCTAAATCAAACCAAAGGCTAGAGATTTCGCAAACAAAAATCCACATACAAGTTGTCATTCACTTTAACCATCTTCACAAAATAACCAACAATTTCAATAACTCCAAGATCCCGTTTTCAAGAAATCACCTAAATCCTAAAAATTAACCACATTTACATAGAAATCCCCATATCTCATCAAAGAAGATGTCTACCCTACTGCAAAAAACACAAGAAAGAGAATTATCCATACCTTTATTTGATGATATAATAAGATCTCTTGCAGTGCTGGCTTTACTTCCTATGGAGCAACAGAAGAAAGACACCCGGGAAAAATGGAGTTGATGTGGAGAGTGAGAGAACTTTCGGGAAAATTGAGGTTCCACGTGGCATGCGACGAATTTTGTTCCTTTTTTTTAAGGCGGGCTTTTCAGCCCAAGCCTTACATTGAATTTGGGATTGTGTTATATTTTCAACCTTTCGAGCTTGGGCCTCATCAAACCCCTCCTAGCTACCCTTTTAGGATAACGCTGATGGCTGTGGATCTTATGATGCCATGTTAAATCATCATAGTACCTGTTGATTGCTATGCTAGTGAATACTAGCTAGGGGTACCTGCGTAGGCTATTCTTTTTATTTATTAATACTGATATTTGAATTAAGTTATGTATATTTTGATTAATTTTAAAATTAATCAATATATAAATCTTTAATAATTTATAAAATTTAAATTGTTGATTTCTAAAGAGTAAATCTAAACTAATTTATATCATAAGAATATTCAATTACTTATCCCTAACCTTTCCTCTACCCTATCAATTTTAATTTTGAGAATATAGCCCAATAGAAGCATAGAATATTACAATTTAGTATATTAAAAAAAAACCCTCCATTTATTTTTGATGTAAATAAAAGGTAAAGATTAAATTAATAAAAAAAAACTAACAGATTATAATACAATAAAAAATATCTAGTTTAATTTTTTTATTACATTTAGAAATAACAATATTTACTAAATATTATATTTTTAAAGACCGACAAAATAATAATATATTATATTATAAGATTTTTTTCCAACAGTATTATTCAGTTGAATTGTTGTATCTAGTGTGATAATTGCCAAATTGATCGAATAGTCTAAAGTCTAATAAAAGCAGAGTAAAGGTATTTAATGGGCTGTTACTCAATAATTTGTCGCGGCAAGAAGAGCATAAAAGGTCGCCGAAACTTCCGTGTTTTATGATATTAATGGCAACGCCACTCTGCTGTTGGCGACAAGTCAATAGTCTAGTGAATATGGGATCCTTTTCGTTGCTCCGTTTTCCACTCAAGAACATAAATTTCATCAGTATAGAATAGTGACAGAAAATCCTGAATATATACGGTAGCATAAGATGAGAAACTCATATGCTTTGGTTCTCTCGACAAAACTACTTATTTCCTTTCAATCTATACCTAATATATAGTCTTTTTATTTTTCCTTTTGAGCGCATATGGAGTTTTGTCTATTTTTTTTAAAAAAATTCATACTAGGAAGTCTAAGTTCTAGCATAACCGGGAGCGGAGCTCGGACTGAAAGATAAATGGGAAAGATAAAGCTTTTTTGTTTTTAAAAAACCGGGGGCAAACATTTAAAAATAAAAGAATAAACCAGTAAAATTAAACAGAGTAGAATGAATGTTTTTTAAAATAATTTCTCTCCTTCTTCTCTATGTAACTCCGCCTTGACCATAATTAACCTCTCTTTAAAGGGTTTTTTCAATCAGAAAATATAGAAAAAGAATATGAGTATATTCATGAGCTTGCGTATAATTGATTTTTACATCACCTTTCCTTCAAGAACGCTCAAGTTTAAATTTCTTATATATATATATAAAATAAAAGATAGAATCAAATTTCTTATATATATATATATAAAATAAAAGATAGAAAAGATGAGCGTGTTCAATCATTGAATATATAAAAAAAATTTAAAGGAAAAGGTAGATGGTATGCTGCCATTTGAAGTGATTAATTTGATGCTATCTTTTGTTTTCATTTTTCTTTTTATGAACACAAGATGGTTTTCCTTTTATTAATAAAAAAAAAACTAGCAGAATCTTATTATTACAACAATCAAAGAATCAAGAACCCTACAATAAAGATTGACATTTGTGTGTATGTACATGGATGATGTAATGCTCGGTGAGAAGATGTTTGGACAACAACACATTAAAAAGACTAAATACATGGTAAAACTATAGAGGACATAATTTTAATTGATAATAAATCGAGTGGTTACGGGATTCAATTTAATTTGAATTACAAATTTGCAAGAAAAAATAATAAAATATTTGTCCAAAATAATTGCGGAAATACTTAGAAGTGAAGAAACCTACGGAAAAAAAAATCAATGGAGGCGAAATCAGTTGCTCTAATAATATAAGCTTAATAACTCCAAAACATTTCCTCTTCTGTCTTACCTAGAACTTAATTTCCTTTTATCAATAAAGGAGCATCACTAATCCTTCCTATTTTAGAAATGTGATGGGCCTGATAGCAAGTGAGTGGGAAAAAGGAGAAATAATTGTATAAATATCTAGGAAGCATCTATACCTCTCTTTCATCAATGACTGAGCTTTCAACGTTATAAGCAAATAATAATAAAAAAACCTCTTAACCTCTACAATTAGGAGTTGTTAATTACTGAAACAAGACCACCCTGTTGGGTCCTTCAGGCATCAGCACTAGGGATCCTTGTAACCACCACATATTTGATTGAATTGGATACTTCAGATCTAAACGAAGTTTCAGTGATACGCTTCATCATTCAGGATTAGGAAACGCCACAAGGAGTTCACATAATGTCGAAAAAGAAACATAAAAGCTTATGGAGGGATTGCCATTCTGTTTGCTAAGCTATCTTTGAAGATAAAGTTTAAACCATCGGCTATCCTGTATTTAGATGAAGGGACTCACCTAAAACTCCACTTTAATTAGTTGGCGAATATTGTCAACCGGGATTATAATGATACACTACTACAATGATAAGATCAAGTGGGCCAAGCATGTATATTGTGGAGTTTTATTATTGTTGAATCTCACATGATTCTCACACCTGATATCACGGTGAGATTAAAAAGAATGAATAAGAAGTCCCAATCTAATTTATAATACCTGGAAATATTAACTAATATATAAAATTTCTTAAACAAGAAGCTGGTTATATTAAAAAACAAAAAAAAAAACTCATCATCCTTAAATATTCTATCTAAAATAAATTACTTCAATATTCTAAATTTATGATGAGATGATATACCTATTAGGTCTTTCTAATTATTCACCAATACTAAATATGTTTCTTTTTTTTAAATGATTTGGGATTAGAGCCTGGTCTAAAGGCCCAATCCTCACTTTTTGAGATACAAGCATCAGATCTAAGAAGATGATGAGTATTAAATTGGACTTTTAAGCCAATTTTCTTTATTATATCTCGAATTGGACCAGATTGAGATTACAAGTTAATTGAGCTGTAGAGATTTTGGTTCTAGTTAATAAAAATTATCATATTAGAATTTCAGGTTAATCGAATTGTAGATAGAAATTTTGATTTTGGTTAAAGGTAATTTTCAAATTAGAATTTCAGGTTAATCTAGCTATATACAAAGATTTTTATTCTAGTTAAATGGAATTGCTAGATTGAAATTTTAGTTTAAACGAGTTGTAAATAAATTTTGATTATAGTTAAAGGCAATTGTTAGATTGTAATTTCAGGTTAACCGAGTTATAAATATAGATTTTAGTTTTGGTTAAAGAAAATCATGAGATTGAGATTTCAGGTTAATCGAGTTGTAGACAGATTTTGATTTTGGTTAATTAAATGGAATCACCAGATTGAGATTTTAGGATAACTAAGCTATAACATAAAATTTTTTGTTCTAAGGGAACTATTGAGATGTGGAATTTCAAGTTAATCCTGCAATCAAGAAATACTAAGAAATTCAACTTTGTAATTAGGAAGCACCAAGTTTTCAAACCTTGTAATCAGAAGGTATTAAAGATTAAGGTTCTGGTTAAAGAAAATCATCAAATTGAGATTTCAAGTTAACTAAGTTGTAAACAATTTGATTATAGTTTTGGTTGAAAGGGATTGATGCAAAGACATAGTTTCATATCAACCAATATAAAAGCTGCAAGAAGATTAGTTTTGAAGAACAATTTGTTTATCTTTATAAACTTACTATACAAAACACTTAACAAGTCTTTGCTCAGAAAATGTTGTAAAGGCTCATTAAGTATTGTAAAGAGGAGACATTTATTACTACCCATTTTAGGGTCTTATATAAACAAAAAAGAAAAACCAAAAAAATAAAAAAAAGAGAAAAAAAAATATTGGAAAAAAATAAAAAATATACATCAAC